TTCTGCTTCAAGATGGTAATCAGTGGGAGAATACCATTGCTGAAGCTGTCGTTGCTAACGCTCCGTTTCAATTACGACGGCTACTGGCGTTCTTAATTAGAAGTTGTGAGTTGAACTGACCTATGATCTACGGTTAAGTACAGAAATGATATGTCCAAAGACTACCGACGTCAACTACAGTTGCAAAATGTCAATGTTCCCATAGACTTCAATGCGGACAACAACATGTAAGGAAGCCCAAGGCGAAGCCGGGCTTCCGCGCTAGTTATGAATAAACACCTCAAAATTGTAAAAAAGCTCATAATTAGCAACTTTTTTTAAAACCGAAGGCTACCATTTCTTTGAGCATAAAATTCAGAGAAGGCGTAATTTGCTATCAAACAAGTACAAGAAAGAATTTTCCTGCATGTTTTCCACAAAATATAGTTGAATTTATAAAAACAGTCAGAATAAATGATAAAAAAAGGCATACTACTTAAGTAGCCAGTTTTTACAATAGATACGTTTTGCTACACGAAGCTCGTTAAAAATCCGGCTTCCTATCCTGACTAAAATGACTTCAGAATACACTAGCTCGTTAAAAGCTCGCATCCTATCATGACTGAAATGACTTCAGAATAGATTACACGATAATCATTACCACAACCTGAGTCAATGCCGATTAGCGGAATAGTATCAATCTTTCGCATATGTCGACATATTGCGTGATCTTCGGCGACTACTGTGGACCCCTACAATCCTCTGGAGGACGCTAATGTACCACCATGACAGTTTCCCTCGTCTGATACCCCTAACTCATAGTACAACAAGCCACGGCATTTTGGTCTGCTAACAGGCAACAGCTTTGCCAGGGTAGTATCTACCTACGTTGATCGGTAGCACTTTGCCCGAATATCCTGCCTCAGCGACACACTCAAACGGACCAGTCTTGGACACAGAGCTGACCTACTTATGGAACCGAAGAAGAACTCATAATGAGAAGGACTGTACACTCACCTTCAAGGACAAAAGTGCGGAGGACAGAGTACTGTTCCAGGGTCTTTAAAACGCGTGTGAGATAGTCGAGACGCTGGGTGAACAAATTCATGTTGCCGAAGATTTGGACCTCGGAGAAGTTGAATACCCGCTTGGCATTAGACTCAAGCATGCTCTTTCTCGTTTCTCTGTAGGCGTTCTGGTAGGCAAGGTTGATTTCGATGCACTCTGTCATCCGCTTTATGATCTCAGAACTGTCCTGATCCCAGATGGACTTTGTGTGGTTGTTGGTTAGGTACCTTTTGCATGTCTCGATGATCTGGTTGGTGATCTGATTAGGCGAAAATAGGGTAGTATTTTAACGCAGAATACCAAAAGTAACTAGTAATCAAGAATTTTTAGGGGGGGGAGACATTGCTTACTTTTACAAGTAGGACCGTCATGTGAGAGTAGGTATTGTAGAAAGTGGAGCACTGGTAGATCAAGCTCAACGCCTTCATAAGGTTTGGCATCCGCGAGATCATGGTTTTCTATAAAGCACAAATGCAACAACCGGGCTGATTATATGTCTACTAAAAGAAAAGGGGAGTATAGCGCGAAAAAAGATGGCTTTATGCAAGCACTTACCAGGTCAGTTAGACCGAGCGGTTGACAAAGACGCTCTATTGTGCTCAAGTATTTCACATTTCCCATTGCTTCCGCATAGGCTGCCTTCACTTTCTTGTCCAACTTCGCCCACGTCTAAAAGTCGTTTCGAAATAATCCTCCTTAACTTCACCCCAGATTATATTTTAATAACATGAGGTCATAGATGTCACTTAAAAAGTATAATAACGAAACCGCAAAATAAACCGAATTAGCAAGTACTGGAGGAAATCTGTTGTTGTACGCAGCTCATTAATTGCTAAGCACGACGATAAGAACATAAAAAATGTGGCACCCTTTCCCCACTAATTCGCTGTCTGTATTTGAACACTTTGCATTCGCTGGAATGTGCACGATTACACGGGACTGTATTAGGTGGAGACCACAAGAGCTGCAATACTGAAGTCAACTTAGTTCAGTACAATAAAATTATGTACTCAAATGTTGCTTTCACAGGGGGGGAGCTAGATGAAAGAAAATTGAAAGGAATTTGAGATTCGAAAGTGTGGGAGGACCAACCGGGGTGACATTTGACTCCACCATCGACAGGATAGCCAAAACATTGATGATATCTGGCCGGGCAAGCTCTTCCACCAGGGAATTCATTCGAGTCATTTGGCATTTCCAGAACTTAAATTCGCCATGGGGGCCCGTCTGTTCCCGCTCAACGCGAATCAGTTCAACCGCCTTCACTTCCTACGAACGGGCAGACAAAATAAGTTAATAAACTTCTATCGAACGGGGGAGGGGAGGTGAAGAGAGTTCGGTGAATTTGGCGGAAAAAATGTCAGCTGAGAAGGAGATACCTATCAGAACAAGGGTTTAATGCCTCTAACGGCTGCGATTGCACCGAGGTGTGCTATAATCAGTTTTTTACGGAACGATACCCGAGACGGAGATACCTGTGGGGTCGAACGTTTGGACAGCCTTCGCTCCGTAGCCCTGGCAAATTGGTATAACCTCCCACCCCTGCGTTTCTTACGTAATTTTGATGGTCAGGATTACTTACATTACCTCCTAAGCGGGAGTAGATAACAGAAACCGTCCGGAATAGAGTTTGATTTGCATCAAGCTCCAGGCAAACTGGGATCCAATTTAAGGTTAGGGTTAGAGTTATGGTTAAGTTCAGGGTCGAGTATAGTGGTAAGCTACGTTAGGATTAAGTTTGTGGTTAAGGTTAAGACTAGGGTCATCTTTTAAGGTAGGGCTGTGGTTAAACTCGGGGCTACCGTTTCGGTGTGTCTGTCACCTGAAAAGTCTGTGGTAGCCCGCACTCAGTACTGGCAGCACTGACTCATCATGCCTTCTCTCGGCAAGTTAGCAGTTGCGCCAATTATCGTCACGCGTGGCTGTCCGTCGCACGCTCTTGCCTGTCTCTCGCTCGGGTCGATGCCCTGACTCTTGACTCCTTTGCCTAGCGCGCTTGACGCCAATTACTGCGGACCATTTCCTGGTTGGCTGAAGCGACAAAGCACTGGAC